AAAGAAAGAAAGAAAGAAAGAAAAAGAGAGAGAGAAAAACAAGAGTGTGGCATAAGCATGAGGAAGCAAAAGAAAACAAGGAAGCATGCAACCATGAAGCAAATGCTTAGTCTCAGGGATCAGAGACTTAAAGAAAAGGATAGACTGAAACCTAAAAAGAAAGAAAAGAAAGATCTCCGCACATTAAAGGAAAGAGAAGTCACCCAGCACCCTTCTGGCTTATTCTTCCAATATAATACACAACTGGGCCAGCCTTACCACATCTTGGTTGATACCAACTTTATCAACTTTTCCATTAAAGCCAAACTGGACTTAGTGTAGTCAACGATGGACTGTCTATATGCCAAGTGCATTCCTTATATAACTGACTGTGTAATGGCTGAAACTGAGAAACTGGGGCAGAAGTATCAAGTGGCCCTCAGGATTGCCAAGGATCCAAGATTTGAACAATTACCATTGTTCAAGGAACCTATGCAGATGACTGCTTAGTATAGAGAGCAACACAAAGGAACCTATGCAGATGACTGCTTAGTATAGAGAGCAACTCAGCACAAGTGTTATATTGTGGCCACAGTTGACAAGACCTTAAATGAAGAATTGGGAAAATCCCTGGAGTTCCTATCATGTATATTCCTAACCATCGATACAATATTGAATGGATGCCAGATGATTATGGAGCCCCTCAGTTCTAATTCTTATAAGACAATGTTCTTATGCCTTTCTTCAACCAACTTTCTCTGTTAACAGTTTGTTAAACGTGAAATACCATGAATTATTACTCTGCTCACCTGCTTGCTCTATTATGAGCTGGAGGATGAGGGTAAATACACTCACATTTGGATGCTATTTTGAAAATGCTATTTTATTTCCTTACTGGTCAAAGATGCAAAATCTCACGAAGAATGCTTTATTCTTTTTTGAGTTCTGTTGCACATTGTGGTAATTATAGTTAATGTTAGAGTAATATACATTTCAAAATTGCTAAGAGTAAATTTCAAATGTTCTTACCACAAAAATGTTAAGTATTTGAGGTGATGGATATATTGACTAGTTTAATTATTCCATACTGTATTCATAGATTATAACATCACTTTGTACTCCATAAGTTTATGCAATTATAAATTGTTGGTTTACAATAAAAAAGAAAAGAAAAGAAAAGAAAACTCATGGTTTTCAATCTATACCAGAAGGAGTCCAGGTCTACAGAAGTACCTCAGTGGCTATAGGAGAATAGATGCCAAAGCACAAAGCATCCCTTCTCCAGAGCAACTCCACTGTTTTTTCTATAAACTGGGTTTCTATTCAAGATTTCATCCCATTTTAGCAATATCAATTAAAATTACAAATGCATATAATTTTTGACTTCATAGTTCCACATTTAGGCATTTTTCCTACAGATGTACTCACTCACATCAAAAAACAATGCACATTAGAGATCGTTTGCTGCAGCAGCAATCTGTAAAAGCAAAAGACTAGAAATAACAGTCTTAGTTTCTTTGGACTGCTATACCAAAACATCTTACATTAAGTAATTTAATTTATACTGATCTCAGAAGCTAAGCAGGGTCGGGCCTGGTTAGTACTTGGATGAGAGTAATTTAATTTATAAACAACAGAAATTTATTGCTCTCAGTTCTAGAGACTGGAAAGCCAACATCAAGGCACCAGCAGATTCAGTGCCTACTGAGGTCCTGCTGCAAATAGTTGGCACCTATTACATATCCTCAATGGTAGAAGGGAGCAACCAGGCTCCATCAAGCCTCTTTATAAGGAACTAATCCCATTCATGAAAGTATTACCTACCAAAGGCCCCACCTCTTAATATTATCACATTACAGATTAAGTTCTAACATATGACTATTGGCTAGACACTAACATTCAGACCATAGCAGAACCCTAAACTATACAAACTATATAAATTATGACACAGCTATAAAATGGAATTCTAGACAACAATTAAAAAAAAGAGAAAGCTCTTTACAAACGGATATGGAACAATCTCCAGGTACATATTGATATGGTGACTTGCAAAAACATTATGCTGAGCAAAAGAAGCCACACACAAAAGAATAAACTGTACAATTCATTCATTAAATTCTAATTACATTAGTAAGTAAAACAAATCTGTATTGACAGAAATCAGGTCAGTGGTTGTTGATAAAGGGAGGGTAAGTGTAGTTACAGGGATGAACCTCAAAGGGACAGGAAAAACTTGCTGGGGTAATAGAAATGCTTTATATTCTAGGCATGGAAGTATGTGAGTATATATATCTGTCAAGCTGAATACCTAATGTATACATTTTATTATGTATAAACTATACCTCAATAGTAAATTTTTTTTTCTTTTTTCAGTTTTTGGCCGGGACTGGGCTTGAACCCGCCACCCCCAGCATATAGGGCCAGCACCCTACCCTTTTGAGCCACAGGTGCCGTCCTCAATAGTAAATTTTTTAAAATACTATCCAATAGGGTAATGCATATGACTCAAGGAGAAGGGGGCTGGCCCCATATACAGAGGTGGGAGGTACAAACTTGGCCCTGGCCAAAAACTACCAAAAAAAAAAAAATGCTATCCAATAAGATTTACCAAAAACATCACGCTATTTCATATTTTCAAATAAAGAAATACAAAATAAATAAAAATAAAAATCTCTAAAATCTCTACAAATGTAGTCTCTTTAATGTTAAGTGGGAAAAAAATAAGGTGTAGAGTATAATTATAGTTTTTGACTATTTGTGAGACAAAAATTAATAAGCTACACAAACACACACACACAGAGACATACACATTATATATATATAATGTGTATATATAGATACCTCTCTCTAAGAGGGCCAGAGAGAGAGAGGTATCTATAGGAGATAGAAGTAAAAGTAAGTGGATTACTCTAAGAAAGGGAATTAGATGGCTGAGACATGGTAAAGAAAATTTAATTTTTAATATATATCCTCTTATACCTTTTAAATTTTATATCAGGTTCATGGACCTTTAAGGGTTTTCTTTTCTAATAATTTTACTTGAACAAAAGGATCAGCTAAAAATAAAAAAGGGCTCGGTGCCTGTAGCTCAGTGAATAGGGCGCCAGCCACATACACCGAGGCTGGCAGGTTCAAGCCCGGCCCAGGCCTGCTAAACAACAATGACAATTCCAACCAAAAAAAAAACCATAGCCAGGCATTGTAATAGGTGCCTATAGTCCCTGCTACTTGGGAGGCTGAGGCAAGAGAATCGCTTCAGCCCAAGAGTTTGAGGTTGCTGTGAGCTGTAAACCTATGGGGCTCTACCGAGGGTGACATAATGAGATTCTATCTCAAAAACAATAAAATAAAAATAAAAAAGGTTTAAAATCGTCAGTGTAGACCTTGTGGGTGGATCTACAGCATAGTAAAGAGAAAATAGGTCTAGGTCCAAAACTTTCAACATTATGAATTTTAAAATATGCTTTGAAAACAGTGCTGATCTGTGAAAATGATGTGCAGTTACAAATCACTTGGCTGAGACTGAAGAAAATAAAATAAGAGATGAATGATGCCAGTTCTAAAAACTTCAAGTTTTAAGCCAAAAGGGGCACGTTGAACTTGAAAGAGCCTTTGCAGAACATGCACTGGAAACTACCCACATGCTACAGCTTGAACTGTGTCCCCTTCAAAAGATATGCTCAAGCCCCAATATTAGTTATCTGTGAATGTGACTTTATTTGTAAAAAGGGTTTTTATAGATGTAATCAAGTTAAGAAGAGGTCACACTGGATTAAGATGGGCCCTAAGCCAATGAGTTGGGTCCTTTTAAGAAGAGGGAATTTTGGACAGGAATGCAGACACACAAAGATGAGAACACAATCTGAAGATAGAGGCAGAGATTGGAGTTGTTCATCTCTAAGCTAACAAATGCCAAAGACTAGGCCCAGCGCAGCGGCTCACGCCTATAATCCTAGTATTCTGGGAGGCCAAGGTAGGTGGACTGCTTGAGCTCACAAGTTTGAGACTAGCCTCAGCAAAAGCAAGACCTCGTCTCTACTAAAAATAGAAAAACTGGGACAGCACCTGTGGCTCAAGGAGGTGGCGGGTTCCAACCCAGCCAAAAACTGCAAAAAAAAAAAGAAAGAAAGAAAGAAAGAAAAACTGAGGCAAGAGGATCACTTGAGCCCAAGAGTTGAAGGTTGCCATGAGCTGCGATGCCACAGTACTCTACCTAGGGCAACAGCTTGAGACTCTGTCTCAGAAACAAACAAACAAACACAAAAGCCAAGGACTGGCAGCAACCACCAGAAACTAGGAAAAAGGCATGGAACAGATCCTCCCTCAGAATCTCCAGAAGAACCCAATCTTGCCCACATCTTGATTTTAGACTTTGAGCCTCCAGAACTATGAGACACTAAATTTCTATTGTTTTAAGCCAAATTTGCAATAATTTGTTATAACAGCCCTAAGAAATTGATACATCATATAAAACTGAAATGAATCCTTCCCTCTAGGAAAAAATGCTAACATAGTCTATCCACAAAACCACATCACCCCATTAGAAGTCTATTAGAAAGATTACACATTACAGTGAATCTCCAAATTTATTATATATGTCTGTTTCACCTAAACTGTTACAGACAGAACATAACAGGTAAACCACTTAACATTTATACTAATCTTTTAGATGAAATATTCTTTGCTCTTTTTTATTTTTTTATTTTATTTTTGAGATAGGGTCTCACTCTATTACCCAAGCTACAGTGCAGTAGTATCAACATAACTCACTATAACCTCAAACTCCTGGGTTCAAGCAATCCTCCTGCCTCAGCCTTCCAAGTAGCTGCATGCTACCATGCCCCGCTAATTTTATTTTATTTTTATTTTTTGTAGAGACAAGGTTTCACTATTGCCCAGTCTGATTTTGAATTCCTGGCCTCAAGAGATCCTCCTGCCTTGGCCTCCCAAAGGGCTAAGACTATAGACATGCACTACTGTGCCTGGCTGCTTTTCTCTTAACTATTGCTAAAGTGACCAAATGTTTTGGGGTACCTTGAACATACTACTAACCTCAAGAACCATGAATATTTTGTTAGCTGTCTCTAGCACATGGTAGAGTTGACATATATGCTGATGTCTAAGGTTCTTCAAGGCATCAATCTCCGTTTTGATCCGGGGCAAATCACTCTGTGACAAAACATATAGAATGAGCAAAAACAATTTATTTGGGGTATGTTCTAAGCATCAATATCAACGTCTTTAATAGTAAGTAGTAAAACTTTCAATAGGGCCAGGCATGGTTGTTTATGCCTGTAATCCCAGCACACTAGGAGGCCAAGGCAGGTGCAGAGCATGAGCTCACAGGTTTGAGACCTTTCTGAACCAGAGTAAGACCTCATCTCTAAAAATAGTCAGGTGTTGTGGTGGGCGCCTGTAGTCCCAGCTACTTACTCTACCAAGGGCAACTAAGTGAAACTCCGTCTCAAAAAATATATATATAAATAAAAAAATAAAAGTTATCAGTCGCCTCAAAACAAATTGTTCTACAATACAGAATACTATAACCAAACTTATTTGTATATATGTACCCAAGGCTTAGGGATTTTATGAAAGACATGTACAACATGGGTTAATAGCATAATGTCCAGAAAACAATCTCAGACTCCTTTATAAAGTTAGCATTCCAAACAAGGAAAATGACAGAAACACTCTACTCAGTTGTCATGCCTATGCTACACTTTGGGCCTCAGCAGTGGCCCTTTAGAAGCATAGTAAGCTAAAAACCAGTGAATTGAGGTAAAAGTTATGTGGCTATTCACTGCCTCAGTCTCCTAACTTTTCTGGAGGCCTGAAAATTTTCAAAATAGGTGTGGGGACTAGCTCACACCTATATTCTCAGGACTTTGTAAGGCCAAGGTGGGAGGGATCATATAAACCAAGGAGTTCAAGACCAACCTGGGCAATATAACAAGACTTTGTCTTTACAAAAAAATTAAAAATCAGCCAGGCATGGTAGTACACGCCTGTAGTTCCAGCTAGTTAGGAGGCTGAGGTGGGAGGACCACTGAGCCCAAGACTTCAGAGTTACAGCAACAGAGGACGAACTGGGCTCTAAAAATATAAAACTAAAGCAATTTTTGTTTTTGTAGAGACAAGAGTCTCACTTTGTCACCCTCAGTAGAGTGCTGTAACATCACAGCTCACAGCAACCTGCAACTTCTAGACTTAAGCAATTCTCTTGCCTCAGGCACCTGCTACAATGCCCAGCTATTTTTGTTGTTGTTGCAGTTTGGCTGGGGCCGGGTTTGAACCCGCCACCCTTGGTATATGGTGCTGCCGCCCTACCCACTGTGCCACAGGCACCACCCAACTAAAGAAATTTTTAAAACTTTTTTTTAGGCTGGGCATCCATATCTCAGTGGTTAGGGCTCTGGCCACATGCTCCAGGGCTGATGGGTTTGAACCTGGCCCAGGCCTGCTAAACAAAAAAAAATAACCAGCACTGCAGCAGGTGCCTGTAGTCCCAGCTACTGGGGAGGCTAAGGCAAGAGAATCTCTTGAGCCCAAGAGTTTGAGGTTGCTGTGAGTTATGATGCCACAGCACCCTACCGACGATGACAAAGTGAGACTCTGTCTCAATAAAAAATAAATAAATAAAACTTGTTTAAAAAAATAAATTTTTCAAAATAAAAAGTTAGGTGGAGAGGAGGATAAGCCAAGCTGAAAATATTTTTTTTTTTTTTGAGACAGAGTCTCAATATGTCACCCTCAGTAGAGTGCCATGTGGCATCACAGTTCATAGCAACCTCAAACTTTTGGGCTCAAGTGATTCTCCTGCCTCAACTTCCCAAGTAGGTGGGACTACAGGCATCCACCACAATTCCTGGCTATTTTTTAGTTGCAGCTGTGATGGCTTTTTAGCAGGCCCAGGCCGGGTTCAAACCCACCAGCCTCGGTGTACCGCACCATAACCACTGTGCTACAGGGTACCAAGCCTAAGCTAAAAACATTTTAAAAGACAAAACCTGGAAATCACATGAAGTAACCAAACTTTATTATATAAAGGGACTAAGTCTAATAATAAGTGGCTCAAGATCCGATTACCTAAGATTGTATAACTAGATGACAGTTCTTTACCAAGAACTAATTGCAACTTTCAATATTCTGATATTATAATCTTTCTTTTTCTTTCTTGGCATTGGATTGCAAAGCCGGATGACTAAAACCATGAAAATAATCAAAATATTATTAAATTCTTAGTAAGTGACTAAAATAACAACAGAAAAATGTAAAAAGAAGTTTAAAAATTACAAATTAATGTTATGAGATTGATGCTTTAGACTAAGTTCTGAGCATCAGTATAATACATGTTGTAGTAATAGTACACGTTTTGTTTACTAATTTGAAGTAATAGCTAAAGTAAATGAAGCTGAAGTTGTAACTAAAGTTTAAATTGCTTACTGGGAAATTAATCAAATTTGTACTCAATGTTTAAATATTCAAGAAAAAAATGGGGTTTAAAGCTTTTTTATTAGATTAACACATATAATACTGAACACTAAAAAGACAAAATATTAAAGGAGAGCATATCGATTGACAGATATCGGTCACTGTGTGATTTTAGCATATATTTTGGAAGGGGATGACATTGCTGTACCTAAACTGCTTATATTTCTTTGACTTATTGATACTTGTTAATCGGCACTTACATCCTTAAAAATAAAACAATAAGGTAACAAGTAATATTAAACCCCATGTCATTCCAGCAATAAGGAAGCCATTAAAAATTACTTTTTATGTTTGATAATAACATTTTTAAAATGTTTACATTGTTTTACTCAGTTCTATACTACTACTAATTACAATGCTAACTCAATCAAGAAAACATTTTTTGGCTCGGCACCTGTGGCTCAAGTGGCTAAGGCAACAGCCATATACACCTAAGGTGGCAGGTTCGAATCCAGCCCAGGCCCGCCAAACAACAATGA